AAAGGGGGGGTTGGGGGGACGCGTGTCATGCGCTTAAGTCGGAGTTTTTTTTACGACTTTTTCCATGCAATTCGAAAATAAAATCTTTTGCTTAATAAGGCACCGATTTATTGCACTTTTTTAATAAGAAATCAATAAAATGTAACGACATGTGTAATACAATGTTGTAAACTGGCCGACAAAGGCCAAAAGCCGCCCAAGTGTTGTACGACACTAATTGTGGCTGAAGAAAAATAACCATGGATAAAATGGATATCTATGTGGGTCAAGAAATTTAAATGTCACATAGGCGACATTCCAAGAAAAAATAAAAACAATAAATCTTCAAGTGAAATTTATTGCTCAAAAAAAATATTTTTTAACAAATCAGCGTTTCTCGGAACTTGGGAAAATATTTCTATTAAAAGCTCCATAATTGCTTGGTTCTCGAAAAATATTTTTCGTTATTCCTTGTTTTTTGTTTCCTGAGAAAAAAAAAATATTTTAAATAATCCACCTCCATTGGTACTTCAAAAATATGTTTTAATTCAAGACAGTACTCGAAAAAAATACTTTTTTAACAATTGAATTTGTCTGGCTTAAAACAAAAAATTCTCAAAAACCCAGATTGTTGGTTCTCGAAAATATGTAATCTGAAAAATCCATGGTACTTTGAATAAATATTTTTTAATACAAAACAGTTAAAAATTTCAAAAAAAAAAAAAAATAACAAATCAGCGTTTCTCGGAACATGGGAAAATATTTCTATTAAAAGGTCCATAATTGCTTGGTTCTAGAAAAATATTTTTTGTTAATTCTTGTTTTTGTTTCCTGAGAAAAAAAAATATTTTAAATAATCCACCTCCATTGGTACTTCAAAAATATGTTTTAATCCAAGACAGTACTCGAAAAAAATACTTTTTTAAAAATTGAGTTTGTCTGGATAAAAAAAAATTCTCAAAAAACCACTTTTTTGGTTCTCGAAAATGTGTAATCTGAAAAATCCATGGTACTTTCAATAAATATTTTTTAATCCACAACAGTTAAAAATTTCGAAAAAAATGTGCTGAAAATCCAAGTTTTGAAAACGATTGTTTGGTTTAAACCAAGCTTAAACGAGTAAAAAAGCTGTAAGGTCTGCCGGGCCGATCTTTGAATACCCTCCACCATTTGGAACGATTTTGGAAATTTTCAAAAAAAAAAAAATAAATAAAATAAAATCCGTTAAAAATTCTATTAAAATCTTAAAAATACCGAATGTAGCCGTTAACGTAACTTTTGCCATAAACCATTACAATATTCCAATGCGAAACTGGAATAAAAAAATTCGGTGAATAATGTAGCTAAAATCATCAAAATTCCGAATATAGGGAGGTACCGTTATATTGGGGCTATACGAATACTTAATTTGAAATAGTTCCGTTAAATAATGTCGCTAAAATCATCAAAATACCGAATATCAAGGGCGACCGTTATATGGGGCCTATACGAAGACGTGGTGCGTTGTGCGCACCAGGCAGACGGACCGACGGACATCTCTAGATCGACCCCAAATGTCCTAAAACAGATTTGGTCCATAGAGACCTAGGGTCTAAAAACATTATTTTGACTGGGCATCTTTTGGCCCTATCAAATGATGGCCCTAGCCATATGGCTGAGGGCTTGATAAATTCAAACTTTTGATGTGATGGTTGTTGGAAAAAAAAAATAGTTTTGAAAATTCCACGTTTCAAAATGTTCTTTAAAAAATCATTATTTTCAAAATTCATGTTCAAATAGTTTTCAAAATATTTCAAAATTATTTTTGTTTCGAATAATTCATAAAAAAATAAATATCCAAAAAGGCCTAGAATATCAAATAAGAACTTTTAAAATTCCTAAACAGTTTTGGGCTTGAAGAAAATATTGCTAATATATTCTTGTTCTTAAAAAAGCCCAATACTTCAGTTGAAAAATTTAATAGGAATGTAAAAATATAATTAAAATGTATATTAAATATTAAAAAAAATATGTTCATACATTTTTTCATTTTCTATCCAATTTAACATATGGGTCCTCATAATATCCTTAAATATAAATATTAAAAAAATAATCTTAAAAAAACCCATGCCTGGGATAGAATAGTAGTTAAAAAAAATCTAAAAAATTGACACAACTGAAAAAAATATTTTAAAATTTCGGGCTTTAAAGTTATTTTTTGAAAAATTGTTTCTTCTAATAATTATTAAAAAATATTGTAAAATGATTTTCGCTTCGAGTATTTGAAGTAAACATATTTAATAATAATTCACTCTTAGAAAAGAGTTCAAAAAATTTTTTTATTAAATCCCGGCTTCTATGATGGTCATGGTTTTTTGGTATTTTATAATCCACGCCTGTATGGTAGGCCCTTGCCAAATATTTTTCTAATAAAAATGTTAAAGATATCAACATTTAAATATTTTTTACTTATTAATTTCCATATTTTCTTAATTTGTAGCAATTATTTCAAAGTGGGAAAAGTGTATTTGAGCAGAAAGTGTTTCGAACGTTGAACGTCCTTAAAAAACTGGGTCCTTAAATTATATCCTTAAAATACAAATTTTAAAAAATCCCCGTCCTTTACGAAATTTTCCTAAACGCTCCACGGCCTTAAAAATTCCTAAAAATACGGGTCTTAAGCAAAATTCCCAAAAATCCAGGGGCTTTGGTAATGCCCTGAAAACTTGGTCCAAAAAATTCCTGAAAAGTTTACTATTTAAAATTTTTAAAATATTTTTAAATTAAGAGCACCTAAAAATTAAAATAAATTTAAGCCCCGATCTAGCGATGTCCGTTTTGCTGGTGCACACAATAAATTTCTAAAAATCGGATACTTCCATTTGTTCCAAATTTGGTACATCGTAGGTAAATTTGGTACATCGTAAGGCAGATATTTCTGTTAGCAGTTCTGTGCCCATGACCAGAGTGAAGTCTTCAGGTTTGCGGAAGTTCACGGTGTCCGTTCTACTAAGGATAATTAAAAAGTTATGGAAATAAAACCGAAAATAATTTAAAATAAAATTAAAAATTCACATTTCTTCATTTGACGGAAAAAATATTTAAAAAAAAATCCACGTTTGTTTATTTCATGAAGAAATACTTTTTAAAAAATCCACGATTGTTTATTTCATGAAAAAATATTTTTTACAAAATCCACGTTTGTTTATTTTATGAAAAAATATTTTTTTAAAAATCAACGTTTGTTTATTTCATGAAAAAATATTTATTTAAGAAATCCACGTTTGTTTATTTCATGAAAAAATATTTTTTTTTTAAATCCACGTTTGATTATTTGATAGAAAAAATATATTTTTTTAAATATCCATGTTTGTTTATTTCATGGAAAAATATTTATTTAAGAAATCCACGTTTGTTTATTTCATGAAAAAATATTTTTTTTAAAAATCCACGTCTGATTATTTGATAGAAAAAATATATTTTTTAAATATCCATGTTTGTTTATTTTATGGAAAAAAATATATTTTAAAAAATCCACGTTTGTTTATTTCATGAAAAAATATTTTTAAAAAAATCCACGTTTGTTTATTTCATGAAAAAATATTTTTATAAAAAGTCCACGTTTGTTTATTTTATGAAAAAATATTTTTTAAAAAATCAACGTTTGTTCTTTAAATGAAATTTTTTTTTAAATCCGCGTGTGATTATTTGATGAAATTTTTTTTTTTAAATCCACGTTTGATTTTTTGATGGAAAACATTTTTTTCCAAAAAAATCCACGTTTGTTTATTTGATGGAAAAAATATTTGTAAACAATCCATGTTTTTTTATTTGATGGAAAAAATATTTTTTTAAAAAGTCCACGTTTGTTCTTTTAAAGAAAAAATATATTTTTAAAAAAAAATATTTTTTGTTAAAAAATCCACGTTTTTTCTTTTAATAAAAAAATATTTTTTTTAAAAAATGCACATTTGTTCTTTTAACGAAAAAATATTTTTTTTAAAAAATGCACATTTGTTCTTTTAACGAAAAAATATATATTTTTTAAAAAAAATCTACGTTTGTTCTTTTAACAAAAAAATATTTTTTTAAAAAATCCACGTTTGTTATTTTAACAAAAAAAAAATATTTTTTTAAAAATTCCACGTTTGTTCTTTTAATAAAAAAATATTTTTTTAAAAAATCCACGTTTGTTATTTTAACAAAAAAAATATTTTTTAAAAAATCCACGTTTGTTCTTTTAATAAAAAAATATTTTTTTTAAAAACCCCAGGTTCATTTATTTGATGAAAAAATATATTTTTTAAAAGTCCACGTTCATTTATTTGATGAAAAAATATTTTTTTAAAAAAATCCACGTTTGTTTTTTAACGAAAAATTATTTTTTTATTTATTGTGTATCTTATTCTTTTCTTTCTCCTTCATTACTTTTTATTGGTGTCCTCCGTTGCTTATAATGTGTCTCATTCTCCTCATCATTAAATATTCTATCTGTTGCGGCTAATGTCATAGTGGGTTACAAGTTGTCAGGGCCAAATTGTTGAGCCAAAACTTTGACACAATAGAAATTAGAACGCTGTTCAAATATTAATAAGCTATGGTAATTCTCCGGAATGTATTTCGGAAAATTAAAGCACTCAAGTTGCAGAACATTAACAGGATATTACGAAATGGAACACTTAAGGTAACAAACACGCATACATATGTAGGTGTGTATGTATGGATGTAGATGATGGGGGGTCGTTTAATATGGACAGAAGCAATTTGAGTGAAAATGCGGTTCAACCGATAGTTACCCTCAATTTCGGGGCAGAATGGCATTCAATACAAATTTGGGGAGGTGGAATTAATTTTTATTGTTTTTTTTTTTTTTTTTTTTTGAAGATAAAAGGTTCCTCAGTCAATTGTTGGTGGGATATTAAAATTGAATGGAAATTTTATAAATAAATTTATTTTTTTAATTAATTTTTTTTAATTAAAAAAATAATTATCAAAAAATAATAAATTATGTTTTATTTAACAAAAAATGTAAATAAAATAAAAATAAATATTTCCATAACCCCTGACCCAAATATTTTGACTCCTTTGGAGGAGCTCCTCTCTCCTTTCGAATATTCGGTGATAATTTTCTCAAAATAATCATCATCATCATAATAACTAAATGTCTTGTTGGTTGTTCTCAAAACCTCCTCTGAGAGGTTGTCTTCATTTTCCAACGGAAAATCCGTTCCTCCATTATCTAATGGCGCCTTTACCTCAATTTCATTATCCTCCTCATCTTCATAATCCGAATAGTAATTATAATCAAATGTCTTATTCTTGGCCACAATCCAATTATAGTGATAAAGAACATTGACATATAATCCCAAATATTGGCTGCGGGCACAGCTGTTACCCTCCAAAATAATGCCCGTCAAGTGGCCCAAACACACCAGGGGACCACCTGAGTCACCTTCACAAAAATCATGGGGCTGATGTTCTTCAAAGCCAGCACAAATGAGATCTGAGGTGAGATCCCCATAAAATTTACTGCAAATTCGGGACTCCACAATGGGCACAAGGTTGGTCTTTAGTAGGGGAGAGGGATTACCCTGAAAAAAAATTAAGAAATTATTTTGGAAACATTTTCTAATTTTTCGATATTATGGAAATTACCGCACTTATATTCCATCCTGAGGTTGAGCACAGCACCCCATTTGGTTGAGCCTCTATGCTCAATGGTATGGCTCGCACAGTGGGCCAATTCCAGGCTATATAGCCATCTATGAAGAACATGGCAATATTATTTATCAATGTTGGGAAATCAAAGGCCTCATGGACGGCCAGCTGCAGGACATCATATTGCAGTGTGAAGGCAGAGATTTCAGTTAATAGTTCAGTGCCCATGACTAGGGTGAAGTCTTCTGGTTTGCGGAAGTTCACGGTGTCTTTACTATAAAGGATAAAAAAAAGGATTGGAAATAAAACCGAAAATAATTTTAAAAAAAAATTAAAAAATTCATATTTCTTTATTTGATAAAAACAATATTTTTTTAAAAAAATTCACGTTTGTTAATTTAATAAAAAAATATTTTTTTTTTAAATCCACGTTTGTTAATTTAATAAAAAAATATTTATAAAAAAAATTCACGTTCGATTATTTAATAAAAAAAATAAAACCCAAAATAATTTTAAAAAAAATTAAAAACTTCATATTTCTTTATTTGATAAAAAAATATTTTTTTAAAAAATTCACGTTTGTTAATTTAATAAAAAATATTTTTTTTAAAAAAATTCACGTTTGTTAATTTAATAAAAAAATATTTTTTTTTAAATCTACGTTCGATTATTTAATAAAAAAATAAAACCGAAAATAATTTAAAAAAAAAAATTAAAAAATTCATATTTCTTTATTTGATAAAAAAATATTTTTTTTAAAAAATCCACGTTTGTTAATTTAATAAAAAAATATTTTTTTTAAAAAACCCACGTTTGTTAATTTAATAATTTTTTCTTTAATCCACGTTTGTTAATTTAATAAAAAAATATTTTTTTTTAAAAAGATCCACGTTTGTTAATTTAATAAAAAAATATTTTTTTTAAAAAAATCCTCGTTCTATTATTTAATAAAAATATATTTTTAAAAAAAAATCCACTTTCGATTATTTAATAAAAAATATTTTTTTAAAAAAAATCCACGTTCGATTATTTAATAATTTTTTTTTTTTTTTAAATCCTCGTTCTATTATTTAATAAAAAATATATTTTTTTAAATATCCACTTTCGATTATTTAAAAAAAATATTTTTTTAAAAAATCCACGTTTGTTTATATCATGAAAAAATATTTTTTTTTTTAATCCACGTTTGTTTATTTCATGAAAAAATGTTTTTTAAAAAATTCACATTTGTTCATTTCATGAAAAAATATTTTTAAAATAATCCATGTTTGTTTATTTAATGAAAAAATATTTTTTTAAATCCACGTTATTTTATTTCATGAAAAAATATTTTTAAAATAATCCACTTTTGTTTATTTCATGAAAAAATATTTTTTTTAAATCCACGTTTGTATATTTCATGAAAAAATATTTTTTTAAAAATCCACGTTTGTTTATTTCATGAAAAAAATATTTTTTTAAAAATCCACGTTTGTTTATTTCATGAAAAAAATATTTTTTAAAAATCCAAGTTTGTGTATTTTATGAAAAAATATTTTTTAAAAAATCCACGTTTGTTTATTTCAAGAAAAAATATTTTTTAAAAAATCCTCGTTTGTTTATTTGATGAAAAAATATTTTTTTAAAAAATCCACGTTTGTTTATTCGATGAAAAAATTTTTTTTAAAAAATCCACGTTTGTGTATTTAATAGAAAAAATATTTTTTAAAAATTTCACGTTTGTGTATTTAATAGAAAAAATATTTTTTAAAAATTTCACGTTTGTTTTTTTGATGAAAAAATATTTTTTAAAAAATCCACGTTTGTTTATTTGATGAAAAAATATTTTTTAAAAAATCCATGTTTGTTTATTTCAAGAAAAAATATTTTTTAAAAAATCCTCGTTTGTTTATTTGATGAAAAAATATTTTTTTAAAAAATCCACGTTTGTTTATTCGATGAAAAAAATTTTTTTTAAAAAATCCACGTTTGTGTATTTAATAGAAAAAATATTTTTTAAAAATTTCACGTTTGTTTTTTTTGATGAAAAAATATTTTTTAAAAAATCCACGTTTGTTTATTTAATGGAAAAATATTTTTTAAAAAATCCAGGTTTGTTTATTTAATGGAAAAATATATTTTAAAAAATCCAGGTTTGTTTATTTAATGGAAAAATATATTTAAAAAAATCCACGTTTGTTTATTTAATGGAAAAATATTTTTTAAAAAATCCACGTTTGTTTATTTAATGGAAAAATATTTTTTTAAAAAATCCACGGTTGTTTATTTAATGGAAAAAACATTTTTTAAATAATCCACGTTTGTTTATTTAATGGAAAAAACATTTTTTAAATAATCCACGTTTGTTTATTTAACGGAAAAAAATTTAAAAAATCCGCTTTTGTTTATTTTATGGAAAAAATATTTTTTAAAAAATCCAGGTTTGTTTATTTTATGGAAAAAATATTTTTTTTTAAAAATCCACGTTTGTTTATTTGATGGAAAAATATTTTTTAAAAAATCCAGGTTTGTTTATTTTATGGAAAAAATATTTTTTTAAAAATCCACATTTGTTTATTTGATGGAAAAATATTTTTTAAAAAATCCACGTTTGATTATTTGATGAAAAAAATATTTTTTAAAAAATCCACGTTTGATTATTTGATGAAAAAAATATTTTTTAAAAAATCCACGTTTGATTATTTGATGAAAAAAATATTTTTTAAAAAATTCACGTTTGATTATTTGATGAAAAAAATATTTTTTAAAAAATCCACGTTTGATTGTTTGATGAAAAAAATATTTTTTAAAAAATCCACGTTTGTTTATTTCATGAAAAAAATATTTTTTAAAAAATCCACGTTTGTTTATTTTATGAAAAATATTTTTTTTAAATCCACGTTTGTTTATTTCATGAAAAAAATATTTTTTAAAAAATCCACGCTTGTTTATTTCATGAAAAAAAGATTTTTTTAAAAATCTACGTTTGCTTATATCATGAAAAAATATTTTTTTAAAAATCCACGTTTGCTAATTTTATGAAAAACTATTTTTTTAAAAATCCACGTTTGCTTATTTCATGAAAAACTATTTTTTAAAAAATCCACGTTTGCTTATTTCATGAAAAAATATTTTTATAAAAAATCCACGTTTGTTTATTTCATGAAAAAATATTTTTTTAAAAAATCCACTTTCGAAAATTTGATGAAAAAATATTTTTTAACAAATCCACGCTTGTTTATTTAATGAAAAAATATTTTTTAAAAAATCCACGGTTGTTTATTTAATGAAAAAATATTTTTTTTAAAATCCACGCTAATTTATTTGATGGCAAAAAAAATTTTAATAAAATTCACGTTTGTTTATTTGATAGAAAAATATGTTTTTTAACATGGATATTTTAAAAATATTTTTTCGCCAAAAATAATTGAACGTGGATTTTTTAAAAAATATTTTTCTTTCAAATATGCTAACGTGGATTATTTAAAAAAATATTTTTGTTTCAAATTTGCTAACGTGGATTTTTTAAAAAATATTTTTTCATCAAATAAACAAACGTGGATTTTTTTAAAAATATTTTTTCATCAAATAAACAAACGTGGATTTTTTTAAAAATATTTTTTCATCAAATAAACAAACGTGGATTTTTTAAAAAATATGTTTTCATCAAATAAACAAACGTGGATTTTTTAAACAATATTTTTTCATCAAATAATTGAACGTGGATTTTTTAAAAATTATTTTTTAATCAAATAATTGAAATTGGATTTTTTAAAAATTATTTTTTAATCAAATAATCGAACTTGGATTTTTTAAATTATATTTTTATCAAATAATCGAACTTGGATTTTTTAAATTATATTTTTATCAAATAATCGAAGGTGAATTTAAAAAAAAAATGTTTTTGCATCAAATAATCGAACATGGATTTTTTAAAAAATATTTTTTCATCAAATAGTCGAACGTGAATTTCTTAAAAAATATTTTTTCATCAAATAATCGAATGTGGATTTTTTTAAAAATATTTTTTCATCAAATAATCGAACTTGGATTTTTTAAATTAAATTTTTATCAAATAATCGAAGGTGAATTTAAAGAAAATGTTTTTCATTAAATAATCGAACGTGGATTTTATAAAAAAAAAATTTCGTCAAATAACCGAACGTGGATTTTATAAAAAAAAAATTTATCAAATAACCGAACGTAGATTTTTTAAAAAATATTTTTTTATCAAAAAAATTACTTTTTCCAGAAAAAAGAGGATTTCAGATGATGTTATAGTAATATATATATTTTTGTTATAAATTAACTTACTCTTCCATGTTGATATCATCCGGTTCATCATCCCTGTAAGCATTTGCAATAAACTATAAATAAATTCCAATCAAAATAAATATTTATTGCATCCGTACTTCACCACACAATGGGCAGCAGATAAGACGACACGCTGCGAGATCACCGAACCACCGCAAATATGTCCATCTCCATAGTACTCCGAGTCAATGGCCTTTAGACGCACCGATACCTGCCATGGAGCAGAGGTTATGTCCACCGGTTCACTTTTAAATACCACCTCAGCTGCAAGATGATTCAAGAAGTCGCATAAAAATAAAATCATTTAAATGTATTCCCATTTCGACTCACCTGTCCGAATTTCTGCCAAATTGTAAATAATAACAAAAAATTTTATTACAAATTTCATCTTCAACATTTTTGTCTTAGCTTCTCTATTGTTTATCATCACAGAATTGTACCTAAACTGAACTGGAAATTCTTGTTGGAAATAATGTTTTACTCATCTTTTGGCAAATGTTCCGAATTTTTAGCTCACATTCGAATGAATAAAAATAAAAACAATGTTTGAGTTGTAGGCATTTTGTAAACAAAAGCCGGAATGAAAGTCAGCACAAATGAATCTCTTATCTTATTGACATTGCTGTATGATAAAAATGAGATTATGACATACATGTTGACATTCGCCGATTCTCAAGATATTAGGGTTGTCTGTTGTAGGGAGTGGGAGTTTCCTAAATCCTCGTTTTATTCTTGAAAAGGAAAATAAAAAAAAATATTCTTTAACAACTAAACAAACGTGGATTTTTTTAAAAAAAATATTTCTTTATCAAAAAAGCAAAAGCCGATTTTTTTAAAATTTTTTCATCAAATATTGGAACGTGGATTTAAAAAAAAAAAAAAAATTTTCAACAAATAAACAAACATGGATTTTTTATAAAATATTTTTTCAACAAATAAACAAATATGGATTTTTTAAAAAAAATGTTTTTCCATCAGATAAACAAACGTGGATTTTTTAAAATACATTTTTTTCCTAAAATTAACAAACGTGGATTTTTTAAAAAATATTTTTTTCATAAAATAAACAAACGCGGATTTTTTAAAATATATATTTTTTAATAAAATTAACAAACGTGCATTTTTTAAAAAATATTTTTTTTTTCATAAAATAAATAAACGTGGATTTAAAAAATATTTTTTTTTCATAAAATAAATAAACGTGGATTTAAAAAAAATATTTTTCCATAAAATAAACAAACGTGGATTTTTTTTAAAAAATATTTTTTCATCAAATAAACAAACGTGGATTTTTTAAAAAATATTTTTTCATCAAATAAACAAACGTGGAATTTTTAAAAAAACATTTTTTCATTAAAATTAACAAACGTGGATTTTTTAAAAAAAATGTCTTTTCCATAAAATATACAAACGTGCATTTTTTGAAAAATGTCTTTTCCATAAAATATACAAACGTGCATTTTTTGAAAAATATTTTTTCCATAAAATAAACAAATGTGGATTTTTTAAAAAATATTTTCTCCATCAAATAAACAAACGTGGATTTTTTAAAAAATATTTTTTCATGAAATAAACAAACGTGGACTTTTTAAAAAATATTTTTTCATGAAATAAACAAACGTGGACTTTTTAAAAAATATTTTTTCCATTTAATAAACAAACGTGGATTTTTTAAAAAATATTTTTCCCATTTAATAAACAAACGTGGATTTTTTAAAAAATATTTTTTCCATTTAATAAACAAACGTGGATTTTTTAAAAAATATTTTTTCCATTTAATAAACAAACGTGGATTTTTTAAAAAATATTTTTTCCATTTAATAAACAAACGTGGATTTTTTAAAAAATATTTTTCCATTTAATAAACAAACGTGGATTTTTTAAAAATATTTTTCCATCAAATAAACAAACGTGGATTTTTTAAAAAATATTTTTTCCATTTAATAAACAAACGTGGATTTTTTAAAAAATATTTTTTCCATTTAATAAACTAACGTGGATTTTTTTAAAAATATTTTTTCCATCAAATAAACAAACGTGGATTTTTTTTTTTAAATGTTTTTTCATCAAATAACCAAACGTGGATTTCTAAAAATATTTTTTCCATCAAATAAACAAACCTGGATTTTTTTAAAAAATATTTTTCCATCAAATCAACAAACGTGGATTTTTTGAAAAATATTTTTTCCATCAAATCAACAAACGTGAATTTTTTAAAAAACATTTTTTCCAAAAAATTAACAAACTCAAATAAACGAACGTGGATTTTTTTAAAAATATTTTTTCCATCAAATAAACCAACGTGGATTTTTTTAAAAATATTTTTTCCATCAAATAAACCAACGTGGATTTTTTTAAAAATATTTTTTCCATCAAATAAACCAACGTGGATTTTTTTAAAAATATTTTTTCCAAAAAATTAACAAACTCAAATAAACGAACGTGGATTTTTTTAAAAATATTTTTTCCAAAAAATTAACAAACTCAAATAAACGAACGTGGATTTTTTTAAAAATATTTTTTCCATCAAATAAACCAACGTGGATTTTTTTAAAAATATTTTTTCCATCAAATAAACAAACGTGGATATTTTAAAAAATATTTTTTTTTAATCATAGTTTCATAATAAGTATAAATCTCGTACCACCCTATTATCCACAAAAGCGTAAATGCTTGCGCATCTAATTGCTATTAAAACATTTTTAGACTAAATAACAGATAAGACAAATATAGTTTTATCTCTTGCTAATTTATCTTTATGGCTGGCAAAAAAACTGCACTGATTCTCGCTAAATTCAATACAAACCAAAAGTCCATAAAATCATTAGTTTACATTGGTAATAATAAATTAATCAAATATGGGAGGTGGAATGGAATTCCATGAATTTGTTGGAAGATAATCGGTTAGGATTGCCTTCATACAATAAAACTAGTTAGCAAAGTCTATAGACATTTGGTACCCTACAACACCATATTTTCCGGCAAAGTCTATATAGACCTGGACCCTTTTGGCCTGGAATGAACAAATCTCTTCAAATGTTGGAATACATTTTGACTTCTTAATAGCCCTACTCTTTCACCCAATACCAAATTTATAAGTACCCTATTTTAGAAAGCGGTTCTAATTCTATTGGTCCCTGCTAGCGCTAAACAAATTGAGTTTAACAAGTTAAAAAGTAACAGTCGGTTTTGCCGATAGTTGTATATCCTCAGCCAATGTCGGATTATTTAAATATATTTTGACTTCTCTTATGATAATTCAAAATGATGATCCTCTGTGGAGTAGGTTCCGAAAGAATGGGCCAATATTTTCCACTTCGTATCGGACCTAAATAATTATGATGTAAATATTGCGACGTTTTGGACTATATCGACTACTTCCTTCATTTTTTTATGAAATATGTGATAATTTTTAGAAAATTTTAAAATTTGCGTGAGATATATTGTCGACCGAAGTATTCCATTTTCGTACTTCATATAACCTAGATAAAAATATTGTTATGGGCAAACTTACAAGAAGATCGAAAGATTTACATCCAATTTTATGCAAAATTTAATATTCATCTCAGGTTTCTGGTTGAGAATCGCCGATTTGTTGCGCAAGTTAGGACAGATAAAAGTATTAAAAATTGTGAAGCTCTGTGGGTGAGGTACCAGAAGGGGTTCGCAGACATATATGTCATCTTCCCATCGAATCTTGTGTCAGCAAAAATATTTGTGTGTGTGTGAAATTTGAAGAAAGTTGGAAAAAATCTTGAACCCTATGTGGGGGAGATACCAGAAGGAATAGTCCGATCTCTACAATCTTACTAACATATCTTGTGTTTATGGAAATATTGAGATATACCAAGTCTGTATGGAATCGGAAGTTAATTTCGCGTTTTTTGAGCTTCATAAATATTTAAAAATTTTACCCTTTGTGGGGGAGATACCAAAAGGGTTGGTCCGATATATTCCATATTCGCAACAGATCTTGGATTAGTAGAGATAATGAGATGTGTGAAATATGAAGAGAGCCGGATGCTTTTTTCGGATTTTATAATCGTTTTGGTTATTCAAAACTTTGACCCTTTGCAGGGCAGGTACAAGAAGGAATGATCCGATCTCTACCATCTTTATAACAGATTTTGTGTTGATGGAAATATTGAGATGTGCCAAGTCTGAATGGAATCGGATGTTAATTTCGCGTTTTATGAGATTCACGGATTTCGAAATTTTGACCCGAGAATCGAATGCTTATTTCGGATTTTGTAATAGTTTTGGTTATTCAAAACTTTGACCCCTTGTGGGGAAGGTACTTGATGGTGTGGAGCGACATTGTCAATTTTCGCACCTGACGTAGCACTGATGCAAATATTAGGATTTACAAATTTGGGGCAAAATAGAATTATCCTTCCTCTTTCTGTGCAGTAATTTTTTTTTTTTAAATTTCGACCTTTGTGGGGGAGGTACCAGAAGGAGTGAACCGAACTCTCAATGTAAGTTTGATAATTATATTACGATGTACAAAGTTTGGACCACATCGGATACTACCTTCGAGAGTTATCGTACGCATCAGCCACCCAGAATCGTTAGATCGACTCCAAATGTCCTGAAACGGATATTAAGTTTGTCGTTCCGGTTGTAACTCATCGAACTTTAAGATAGGAACCAAAAATGTTGAATAGAGTCTGCCCAAGTTCGAAAATGAGCCACATCGGTCAATGTTGCCCCCACATAACGGTACCTCCCGATATTCGGCATTTTAATGAGTTTAGCCACATTTTTAAATAGAATTGTCTCAAAATCCACACAACGAATTCCTTCTGAGTATTTTACCCCCTGGAAGAGAATTGTCTCTATAGGGCCACTACATCGTATATCCCCCATATTATGATTCCACCCCACCCCCCTCCGATTTTCTGCATTTTGATCATTGTAGCCAAATTTGTCTATGAAATTGTCTAAAAATCCGCACAAGGAGATCCTTCTGAGTACTTTACACCCTGGAAGAGGATTGTCCTTATAGATCCTCTTCTATTAATACCCTACACGGAAGCGAGTTAGACCCATAGTTACATTTGAGAATCTTCATAGAATCACTTTCTGAGTCTATGCATACAACCCAGCTCGTCTATACATCTTCCTGTCCATGTATTTTCGTGAACAAACTGCAGGTCGCATTTATTATCCGATTGAGATGAAATTTTCCAAACACTACTTGTTTGGCCCAAGGACGAACCCTATTGACATTGGTGATAATCGGTTCAAATTTAGATATAGCTCCCGCATATATCTTCAACCGATTTCGGGTTAATTATGTACCAAATGACCAAACAAAAAACCAAATTTTGGCACATCCAAGCGAATTCCGTCTAGAACTCCGTCTCCGTCATATTTAGTGGTGAAAATCGATTTAGAATTGGATATGTCTCCCTCTGAAACCAAACTATAACAGCTCTAAAGGCAAATGTTGATAGGTGGTATGTCATCTACTTCAAATAAATTCTTTTGTTACGGGAGCTCTACTAAATATGCATTGTGGTGTAGGGTATAATTTTTGATGA